ATGGATTTCAAATCCAATCCAATCCAAATCCCTCAAGGGAATCCAAATCCCTCAAAAACATTCCCGCAAACCAAACGCACCCTAAATGATTTTGTCTCTTGGGTTTCCCTTAACCATTCAGCATCCTAATTCCATTATGAATAATTACCGAACAATTATATTTCATTTAACACTATATTATAAGAGTCTTTTAATCATTTTAAGGGATTGTTTGACAGTTGCTGAATTTTTGGTGCAGAATGATTAAGTAATCGAAATGATTAAGAGGCTCTCACTATATAGTAGAAAATGTAATATAATTGTTTGGTAATCATTTACAATATGGTGCTGAATGGTTAAGGGAGACACATGATACAAAATCATTCAATGAGTTATAGAACTATTAAGAGACAGATTTTTTTTTGTCAAACAAAATTCACCTCTTAACAATTCAGAGGTTGTCTCTTAATAGATTTTAACAAATAAATAAACAAAAACCCTTAGATATATTATATATACCGATGTAGACCTACTACCACATACATCTATTTTAGGTCCATTTTTATGATTTGTGACCTAATTTGAATGTCAACTAAAATACAAAATGGAAAATGCATTTAATTCATGTCCATTGATGTAATTTCAAAAAAGTATATTTGAAGCAAAAGGCTCAGGTACAATTATATGTTTAAGATGTAACGTATCTTGACATCTGTATCATTATCTGCCGTCATGTTTCTATCAAATCAAAAACCGTATGAAATGATTGTTGATGTCTACCTATAAACTTTAGTGAAAAGCTCGTCAAGATATACGAATTCGACGAAAACCCTTTTTGTTTTCTTTTTCAGCCAACGTGAAAGGTGCTTTTCCTAGAAAGAATCAAAACTTAAAATGCGTAAGCATACGAAGGTTCTCGTCATGTCCTAAATGATGTCCTATGGGCCCGCAACTCGATCCTCTTTCTTTTCTTCGATCGTTCCAATTCTGACAGGTGGGTTGGTTTGCTTCGTCCTCCTATATATGCAATTCTCTGTTACGAAACCTGAAGACGGGTTTGCGTATATCAGTAGTTTCAACCTCAAAGTTGATTGCGTTTAGGAAGTGACTAAAGAAACCCAATCAAAATTGATGGAATATGTTTGGTTGTACGAAATAAAATAACAAAGGAACTGAATGGATGTATAACAGTTCCGTTACATTATATTATCGTGTTTTGGTGATATAAAAGCTTAACGAGATATTATATGAATTTTTTTATAACATATGTCAGTAGAACACATATGAAACATGTAGTGTCATACAGTTTCGTTTTATATATGAAACTTTTAAGAGTGTTTTCTGTGCCAACATGTGGAAGAAAAAACAATATACGTTTCATACGGAAACACACATACAAATACAGACACACAAGAACTGAACATGTGAAACAACTGATTGCATGACTTGAATTGGTTTGTACAGTTTGTAACAAATATTAGGTTTGTATTTGCAACTCAAGTGAGAAGTAAATACATTGTGGTAACCTAAATTTTACCTTAAGATATTGTTTCATATGTTTTTGTTTTCTCACTTAAGGCTAAGATTTAATGTATTGACGAAAATATATTTGTTTCACAATGTGTTTGTTTCATGTGTATTCGGTTCACAATGTCAAACTTTTTTACATGTGAAACTTTTTTTTATTAAGATTCAAATTGTAAAACAAATATAGGGTTTGAGTTATATAATATTTATATATGGGAAATGCAACAAATAAACCCACACACCCTTATCACATTTGGTGAGGTTTGAACCCATGACCTTCTAAGAGACCAAAGACTACGATATCGCTATGCCAAAAGCCCTTTTTCATTAAGATTCAAATTATGAAACAAATATATGTTAATCGTCAACAAGATTCAAATTGTCAAACTTTTTCATTGCAATCTTATTTGAGATCTTCGTGAGATATTTATCTCCTGTAATCTTTTTATTTTTGTAAATAAGAATTTCAGTTTGAAATATTGTATTTTAAAAGTTGCTTAAAGTACATTCAGATACTTACAACCTTCTAAACTGCTTGGGTTGGGTTAAGATTTTTCGGTTGGGTTATTTTCGTGTTGGGTTGGGTTGGGTTAAGATTTTTTCAAACCGCAACTATTGGGTTGTGTTGTTCATATATCTTCAATCCGATCAACCCAACCCATGAACACCCATACTTACAACCTTTCTAAACTGCTTTATATGAAATTAAGTAATTATTTTAATATATATTCATATGAAATTAAAAAAACTCAACAAAGAAAACATCGATGCATCTTTTTGAATTAATATATATTTATATGAAATTAAAAAAACTCATATTACTTATCATAAAGCATTTGACAAAAACTCTTAAAAACCATTTTTTTATACGTGAAGTACTGTTTATTAATGCGTATTACTTAAAATTTAAGATTACAAGTAAATTGTACTTAAGTACAACTTATTAAAGCTTCATTTTTTAATTCATATAACTAACCGCAGATAAACATAATCAAATCCAGGATAAACATCTCATTTTAAATATAAAAAATTTAAAATATAATTATGATAATCTTTATGTTCTAACAAAATCATTATCTTTATAAAAATGATATTGTTAAGCCAAAAATAAATTGTTTCGTTATTAGACCTAAATTAAATTATAATAAAAATTGAATTAAAAAAATTGTAACAAAACGAGAATTTTTAAATATTTAATTTAATATTAATATCGATATATTTTTTAAAAAAATTTATGATATCTTCAAAAGTAAAAACATTATATTTATCAAAACCACATAAACCGAATTATATATCAACAGAAACAAAAAATAAAACGAAAAATTAAAATGAAGATGTATCTCGCTGCATTGTGCAAATATACTTCTAGTAATATATCAGATATTTGATTTATGATTTTATTATTAATTGAATGATTTGATTAATAAAAGATTACAACAACCTCTTGTTCACATTATTTATTTGTTTTTGTTGTACTTGTCATTCATGGAGAATTCCTTCATTTTAAGCAATGCTACACTAATGACTCATTCATTGTCCATATAAACCATGCTTGACTTTGCCTCATTTGTCTTGTTCATATGACCTCCTTCTTGCTCATAAATTTCCATTTTTTTGGAAATTTAAAGATTGAGAGGTAGAATCTGGTTTTTCTTTCTGTTGATTTACCAGAAAGAATCACTGAGCTATTGTATGCATGTGGTTGTATAGAACTACTGATTTAGATGATGGTGTTTTCTGAACTTCCATTGGACATGGTGATTGTGGTCATCTCTATGCTTACGCTTGAGGACGCGATACGCCTTTGTTTGATGCAAAAAGAGTGGTTTCAGCTTCGACTATGGAGGCATTGTCGTTCTTTGGAGCTCGGGAAAACGCCCACCTCGCCTTACGTTGGTAAGAGTAATAAGAGAAAAAAGATTCATTCTGATACTTGAAATTGGAAAGAATATCTCAACTTGTAGCCTCCGTGTTTCACCCACCAACAGATGGAGTCAGTAAGAATGGCTCCATCTGTAGTCCGTGTAATTAGATCAATTTCAAGCTGGTATAGTTTGTGTGGCAATGCTATGATTGATTTTTTACTAAGAAACCGAGTGATTTTGTTTGTCTACTTTTAGTCAAAAGAATCTCAGTTATTTCAAGTGGTATCACCATGTCAATCTAATCAAAGAAACCAGTCTAACGTTCTACCAAAAAAGTATGACACCACCATCTAGAGCGTTTTCACTGTACTGGTCGCACAACCATCATAGAAGGGGTAACTCATGTGTCCCAGGGGTAAGGTGCGGCTAGTGCCTAAAGTCAAACCCGAGACCCCTCATTCAACTATTTTTTCAAGAATAAACACTGACGTTGACAATTTTTCACTGTTTTTCTAAAAAATAAGAATCACCAACACTAGCGGTATCAATAATGCATAGAAAAGTGCTATTTTCCCAAAACAGATCAAATAACATAATTTGCGACGTTATAGGAATTACTATCCATTTTCTTGGGTCTTTTTAGAAAAAGAAGAGGTATAAACCAACTTTATGAATAAATTTGGCGCCAACTAACTACAATATGAAGCAAAAGTTACACTTTACTACCTTCTACTATTGCCTTAATGCAAACCATGACTTTGTATCAACTCGAGCATGGTACAAATGACTAACAATCCTCGACTTAATAATGAGCACGTTGGCTACAATTTTAAGTATCAAACGCCCCTAACTTATAAAGTATGTTGACAAGAAATGTGAACCTCAGTATATAATATTTGTAAACGGCAAAACTCACACATGAAGACATGCTCCTGACCTTTGGTGAGGCTTAAACCCTTGACCACTAAAAATATTGGGATCTACTGGTAACCCGGGATGTTCCAATTTTGCTTGGGTTCAAGATACATCACATTTTTCAAGTCCCTAGATGGCTTAAGATTCTCATGAAGCCTTTTTTGATGAACATGTTATTGAAACTTAAGTTGTGAAATGGCTTTTATCCCGAATTATTTGGGATATGATTTCCTAAACTGCCCATGATCTTGATGAAGCGGCAACATCATACTTATGAGTTTAAAGTGTTAGAGTCTCTCATCAGCTATGCTTGGACCTTTCTACTTTAATACATATTGGAATCTCTCTTCTCTCCTCAAGGACTCTTTTGGAGAATAATTAACTGGGGTGCCAGTCATGGAATCAGAGCCATGGTCTAACTCTAGGACATATGTGCTTGGGACCCGACAGTCTACGTCATCTTTGCCCATCTAGCCTCTATTAGATGGGCATGTTGGAGTCTCGCATTGAGTATATTCGGACGTTCCTAATTCAATATATGTTGGAACCTCTCCTCAATGGCTCTTTTGAAGAGAAATCTGATGGGTTCCACATATTCTGTTCAGAATCCCATAAACCATATAGATATTACAATTTCAAGTTAACAAGTGACAATATCAAGATTAATCAGCACGAGAAAGAAGTCAAAACTTGTGTTGACTGTAACAACCGGAATGAAAACATAAATGCATCAAACATAATGTGAAAATCATAATTTATATCACCAGTTACAACAATATAAAAACATGATCACTTGGAACTAAGTTATAGATGGGCATGGTTCATAACACGAATGTGGTGATATAAATGGCACAAAACTTAAAACAGAAGTCTCATGTAGATCACCAGCAGATTTAAAATTAGAGAGAACTGACCAATGATTGCTGAAGTTGGTACAAGACCATTCAAGCTCTCTTTTTCCTGATCAGTGCCGGTCGTGTGCCAATCGCCTTTGACTTTTGCGAATGCGGTAGCAGACCACGCAAGATTGCTAATACAGAAAAACCCATGAAGGGAAAGTACAGCTTCAATAGCTTTTCTGATGCTTTTCCAGATCCCACAAGTTCTGATAGTATTGCAACCTAAAAGAAAATGAAAAGATTGAATTATTGGTCGCTCCCTTCTGTAATCACTCATATTCTCTTGTCATTTGTGTACTATAATTGATATAAATACAACATTTTTTTAAGTACATAATATTTATATACGGCAAATACTCATGCACACTCCTTGATTTGAATCCTTGACCTCCTGGAAAGTTGGGTTATACCAGTAAACCAGGTAGCACGGGGCCAATGACCCTTTGGTTAAACAAGGCATATTACTGAATATGAAATAGCCAATAGCAAGGTCAATAACAAAAGAGGTATAGCTAACGACGTTCCTAAAAGGGAAGCAATGAATGTGTGATACTTGAAAAGGGCCTATATCCCAAAGTACATGAACTGAAGAACTAAAACCTGTTGTCAACATTTGGTGCGACAATTAGACTGCGACAGGACATGACTGAGTGAGACAAAAATGCAATTTTTCTGTCCCACCAAAATAGGTAGAACAAAAAACAGTGAGATGGAACAAACTTCTCATGCCAAATTTAAACCATAAAACCTTCAACAATTCTCTCATCCACCTACCACACTCATGCCCATCCAGTTTTGTCTAGTGTCCTCCGCTTATAAAACACGCTCTATAGGGACTCGGGGGTGAGATGTACGTAGAGCTGCCTTCTACTCCAAAGAGTAGAGCAGTTGTTTCCGGCATCCATACCCAAACTGGGAATGTGTCTGGGCAACATCTTTCAGCCCCATGGCCAACCTCTGTAATCACCAGGGTCTTCTCTTATATGCCTCCTATATCTATAGATAAGAACGACTAATATAAAATAAAATCTTTCTTCTTCCACTTGACTTAATGCTAAACTTAGTGTTGTTTGCCTTCTAACCAGATGTTGATTGATCGGAAAATGGATGCTCTCTTACATCGAGTATTTGTGAGCTTCACAGGAGCTCACCCAACCATCATGATTCACATATATAGCACATTATAACCATTAAAGTAAGCAATGATTATTTCTAATTTAGAGGAGAAAAGATCAATTCAACCATCAACACCAACAAGGTGACATAGTTATAATTAATTTCCACCCAAATTCATCTAGATTTTGATTAAGCACCAAATGCTCATCCAAACAACTACTTAGGCCACTGAGTTTTATAGTAAAATGCACCAACTACCGCATTGTGATGAGATCACACTTACAAACATCATCCCCAAGTTCATATCGCCACCAATCATGGATGTGTTCTCACAGTCTTATACTCTTATAACCCTAAATCCGCGAAATTCATTTTCCTTTCCGCAGGGACCAGGAGATTGGATCTAGCCGGTGTATAAGAATATAAATGATACTAGATTCAAAGTGGAAAATTTTCCATATTTTAATAGATCAAACTGGGAAAAACGAAGAGGGAGAAGTTAAGAATACCATAGCAGTCAGAGTGGAGACGCCATACATCAAACAGGTGGTGCGCAACCAAGATTTCCCAGCAACAATACCATAGAGCGAAGCGATCGAGAGGGGCCAAGCGAAAAGAAGCTCGAGCCAAACAAGACCAACAAAGAAATGGGGTTTTTCAGAGACCAAGTAATCTCCATATTCGTGGGTGTACCAGGTATTGAGGTGTACCAGGACGTCCGGGAAGATATTGGAAGAAAGACAGGTTTGAGCATCGAAAAGTGGAGCTACGATTGCAATTACGAGGAAGACAATGAAGAGGATCGCGTCGATTAGCTTCATGATTGCTCCCATCGTCTCTTTTTTGTTGATTGAATCTGATCTTTCTCCTTCGGTTTCTTCGATGCTGAAGGTTCAAAGTTCAAAGTGCTTGGTAAAAGTTCCAGCACCGCAATGTGACGTTGGGAAATAGAAACGGTCATATTTTATTTGAGTAAATTACAAGTTTCGTCCCTATAGTTGTATGAAAATACGTATTAGGTCCTCAAACTAAATAATTATATATAAAGTCATTTTGGTTTCACTTTTGTTAAAGATTGGATCCCATTTTCTAATGTTGTTAACCTTTGCACTCCATCAAATCAAGAGTAACTTTGGTTTAATATTTTTCATAAAAAGTAAATTAATATTTGTATTATATTATAAAGTATTTGACAAAAACACTTAAAACCTATTTTTTATACATGAAGTACTGTTTATTGATACGTATTACTTAAAATTTAATATTACAAGGAATGTGACTTGGTAAGTATTTGGTAAACAACCTCTTAATGAAAATTAAATTTGGTAAAAAAATTGGTTTTAGTCCTTTGACTTTCAAAATATTTCGAAACATCCTTCTATTTTTTTTAAAAATTTCATAACATGAACCATTTAAAAGAAAAAAAAAATTAAAGACTTATTTGACGGGTATCGAGCCCGACAAATAATCAATCCTTTCAAAAAACTATGAATAAAAAATCGCTTCTACGGCTATGAATAAATAAGATTTATAAAATCAACAATTAAAGTGATTTTCTTTGAAAGACCTCCAAAAAGTGATAAAAATTAGGGGCGTGCATAAAATCAACCGATCCAATTGAAAATGATTAATTCAATTAGAACCGACCAATCATAATTGAATATCCAATTGTAATTAGATTGGATCAGATTGAAAAATTCAACATCCAATTTGGATCGATCAGTTCTCGGATGGCAGTACAGAACCGACCAAAACCGAACCAAACCAAACCGATCAGCATCCAATTAATCATCTGATGACCATCCAATTGTCCATCCAACCATTATCCAACTATCATCCAATTAATTTATTTTCAAATTGTTTAAATCGGAATTTATTTTATGTGAGGCTTTGAATTTTTAACTTCCATTGTGTGGGTTTTAACACATATGAAAAGTGATTAATCAATTTGTATCATTATTGAAAAATTGAATTGAATTAACTCACTAGATGGATCCAATCTCAACGAATCATCCATTGGATATCTGATGAATATTCAATAAGCATCCAATGGATGAAACCAAACCGATCTGATCCAATTATCCATTGGATTGGATCGGTTATCCAATGTTAATCAGGTCGGATCAATTAGCAAAATCCAACATCCAATGGATGATTGGATCGACTCGTTTCCCTTCACATCCAATGGATGTCAACCGATGGACAAACCTAATAAAAATCCATTAAATTGACTTGTCTTTTTGTTGTTTGTACCGTACAACTCTTTGATGCATAATTATTCATTTTTTTCATGTTTTCTACAAACTTTTTGTCTATAATTGAAAATATTTGAACAAGTAAAGCTCGAATCGATGACTTCTTGCAACAGGAACCTTAATTCGGGTTGCCATAACCATCTCGAGCAACATCTAATTCCTGCTATAAATTTGGTTTCCAAATATCTATGGTCAACGTCGTAATTAAATGGGTGCACTGATCTTATCACGTCTCAATTTTTTTTCTTTTGCGATAATAGTTTGTTGGTCCCGTAAGGGTCTACAAGAATAGAAACAGTTTGTAGAAGGGGGGGATGA